TTTTTCCATCTTTTTTAATAAAACACATCACGAATTCAAACGCACTACTCTGTTCAACTTAAGTTAACTTGTACCATAACTTCATCTAAAAACACCATTGTTCAACCTAATTTAAACAAAACATAACTTGAATTAGAAACACCATTGTTCAACTTAATTTAAACAAACACCACAACTTGAAATAAAAACACCATTGTTCCACTTAATTTAAACAAAACCAATCCTTGAAATAAAAACACTCATGCATTGTTTCGACGGTTTGCCCTCTGCTTCCTTGTGCGATGGGCGACTGGTCCACCGGGTGTCGACGATGGTGGAACGGGTGGCAGAATCCTATTCGCCGTAGAAGCGCGATCATCCGTGCTATGCCGCCTCGGTTTCGTGATAGGTGGCCCCTCCGTCTGCGGCCGAGGGCTATCCATGCTCATACGGTGGGGAGAGGATTGCCATTGTTGTTGCCATTGTTGTTGTGGTCGAATCCAAGGTGTGAAGTCTTGTTGTGGAGTGGATTGCCATTGTTGTTGCCATTGTTGTTATTGCCATTGTTGTTGTGGTCGATGCAAAGGTGAGAAGTCTTGGTGGGGACTTGAGTATGAACCCTCGGCCCAAGTAGCTGAAGATGTGCCGTCATGAAATGTAGTTGGCCGTTGTTCATACTGGAAACTGGGCCGGAAAGTGTACTGGAAACTTGACCGCGGATCATACTGGCTTCCGGGCGTAGGGCCGTGCTGAGTACTCCCCCCTTCACCGCTGCACACCTCCAAAGGAGTAGGCGCCTTCCACCCCTCAATCGGTTTGATCTCCGGCACGTGAGGTCGATCCCTCACAGCTTTGTTTTGCCTTCTTTGGACCGGCAGAGGCACCGGGTCAACATCAAGCGTCACCGGCGGCGGTCTCACTGGGGGAACTGGAGGGTATCGCCTATGGTCACGTCCGCGCGCTCGCATACAGCCAAGGAGATTGTTCGCTATCCTTCGAATCATCCCCACCTCTCGACCCGCCGCCGAATGTTCTGCGGTCCATGCGAGGTCGTGGATTCGCTCGATGCCATCAACCTAAATCGAACAAAATAACAAAGTTAGACATTTAAAAAATAATGCACCGCATGACTAAACAAATATAAACTTAATTTCTTACCAAAGCTCCGTCCGCCGCTCCTTCGGGGGTCATGTAACGAACAGATTGTCTTCGGTAGGTTTCCATGTATGGGTCATGGTAGCCCATCCGCCCCACATGAGATGTCGTCACAATATCCTGATCTTGCCTAACATTCCACAGCCGGATCAATTTCTTATACTCCTCTGGCCAATTAGTAGGTCCTTGTCGACCATCTTTCCCGTGGTACCCCTTCTGACTCTCCGGGACATCCAATGGTATGCATTGCTCACGTCCAAATTGTCGTAGACATCGATCCGGCAAGTGCCACTCCACTATGTGGTGGCAGATTAGTGGAACTCGGGTGCACCATTGACCGGGATGTAACGGGAACTTATGGACGTGATGCGCAACAATCCGTTCTGGATACGGATCGAACTTAAGCTACGAAGGTTTAAATAATAAAACCATTAAGCAACATAATAATATAAGTTAAAAAAAGTAGGGTTTAATAGCGTATTATGATGCTCACCTCTGCTTCCCATAGGTGATCAAGCCTCCTACGATACTCCTCCAGCTTATGCGCTCCTAGATTGTCGCATGTTGTTTCATCAAGCCACCTGTTAATATGGACAAGTACACAATGTTAGTACCTTAAAAAAATAGCTCGTTACAACAAACTAAATTAGTAAAAAAAATGTGAGAACTATGAGTGGGATAGAAGATATTTACCTACAACCATAAGCTTCGTGTCGTAGGGGATGATCGGGTCCCCAATCCTTGTCGGGGTCTACCTTCGGCGCAATCCATTGCAAATGCTCCCAAGCCCAAAATTGGACGATGAACATTGCCCCATCAATCTCCTTCACCGCTCTCGCACTAGCATTACATAGGGATCGGTAGAGCTGGGCTAGGCAAGCAGATGCCCAGCTCAAGTTTCCCATATCATCCCAACTACCAAGTATGATCTTCAACCATGAATTGCTGATTAGGTTGTTGGACTTCTTGGGGAAGAAAACTCCTCCGATCATGCCGAGTATGTAGATACGTGCATAAATTTCTTTATCGCGCTCCGAACTTTCCTCCGTGAGGGGAATGCCTCCGAACTCAGGGTTGTGCTTACACCTGATCTCCGCCGTCAACCACGTGATGGATACTTGGCCCTTGGACAATGGTGGATGACCATCCGCATCGTGATCTCCCTTTTCTGGCGGACACAACCCGGTGACCGTCCATATAAAATGTTGCCAACCACTCATATTGGCAACAACTTTAGGTGGTGGCGTAGAGTCCACACAAACAACATCACCATCGATGGGGAGATCGGTTAGGATGGCGATGTCCTTAAGTGTGATGGTGCACTCGCCTTCACGAAAATTGAAGCAGTGTGTCTCCTTTCGCCATCTCTCTACCATCGCCGTGATGAGTTGGCGGTCGATCTTAATTCCGTTGAAATGCCTAATCGAATCCAATCTTGCCCTTTTTAGAAAGGGCAAGATGACGTCGTTCCATTGAAGCACATTCGTTGTGCCCCTATAGCGGACTATATGGTATGCATCCTAGAGAAAAAATTAAATTTCACTATAAGTTGATGATTTATACATATATAAATATATTATAAGATACAATTTATATATAAATCAAGGTTGTTTTAGAGAAATATACATTATCTAATAAACATTAATTTTAACATAACTAAAATAATTTTCTAAGATGCAATATTAATTAAATCAAGCGATTTTCTAGAAATATACATTATCTAATTAACATTAATATTAACATAACTAAACCAATTTTTTAAGTTGCAATATTAAATTAAGCGATTTAATAGAAATATACATTATCTAATAAACATTAATATTAACATAACTAAAATAATATCCAAATATATTATTTTGTTAATCGTATTGATTATTTTCAATAATTTAAAGCAATACAAGTACACTCGTAAGACTCTTAGGAGAGGTATACATCTCCTTAGAAACACAGTTTTTTGACAGAAAAAGGGGGGATCCGAGGATCGCTTAGAACCCGATTTTCCCAGGTCATGGGGGGATCATGATGATCGCTTAAGTCCCCATTTTCTTAGACATGCATTTCTTTATAAAGAGTCTCAATAAGTGTTGTATTGTATTGATTTAAACTATTGAAAATAATCAATACGATTAACAATTAAGTAAATTATTGTACAACAAATAAATTACTTTAACAAAATACAAATTACAAGTGATGATAAATAATATGTACCTTATGGTCGTTCCAAACGTCTCTTGAACGATGATTTGCTTGATCGTATAAAACTGTCGGATCAATCGGTCCTTGATCAACATAATATCGTTGATTGAAAATATCAACATCCGGCCCAACCTACGATAGCATAACAATAACATAAATCATTAGTATATAAATTAAATAAATCATTATAACAACAACAACAATTGGGAAAAATGAGTACGTACCGTTTGATAATCATCATAAAAAAGACCCTCTTCTTGAGCGAAATCGGCCATTCTCTCGGAATCCGGACAAAGGTTCGACGGTTTTTTAGTGAAAACCAAAGAAAAGTTTTTTGGAGGCAGATCGGACTTAGTCCGCAACCAACAAAAAAACTAATTCTAAGGTTGGGTGGGGAGGGGTTGGGTAGAGAGAAGTTAGAGGGAGAGAGGGGAGTGTGGTGGATGGTGTGCAGAAATGAGAAGTGGAGGGGGGTTTATATAGCCATCAAACCGCGTGGGGGAGGGTCGGTTTTGTAATTTCTCGCCACCAAAAACCGCGCCCCCAGCACGCGGTTTGCCTTTCCCGATGGTCAAACCGCACCTCGGGGGGACGGTTTGCTTTTTCCAACGGTCAAACCGCGCCTCGGGAAGCGGTTTTTGTGGGGCGACGCGGATCGCTTATTTGGCAGCCATTTTTGCCGTCAGATCGCTCCTCCGACGGGCGGTTTGATGCACCGCCACGTGGCAACGCGGTTTGACAGCCATGCAAGGTCAAACCGCGCCTTGGGGGCGCGTTTTTAACTTTAACCGCCGCCTGGGAGCGCGGTTTTTTTATAAACCGCTCCTTAGAGGCGCGGTTTTAAATTAAGGGTGGTATTTTTGGAAATTCTTTGGAGTGGGTGGTATTTTTGTAAATTTTTTTTAAAACAGTGGTAGTTTTGGATTTTTTCCCAAATTACACGGGAGCGATGTGCTTCTTGCTCGGATAAATACTTCGTATCTCGTGGCCCATAATAGATATACAATCGAGAATCATATACTCGACACCTATCTATAAAAAAAATAATGAAATAAGATTGTTTTTATTAAAAAAACAAAATCATATTGTTTGATTAAAAAAATAAATCACAAAAGGAAAACTAAAATCCTATCCGAAGAGCCTCTTCGTCCATTTTTTGGCTGAAGCCCGACAGAGGTTCGACGGGCTTTTAGAGGGACGGACTTTAGGGTATAACTCTAGTAATTCTTTCTGATGTGGAAAACCGGACTTAGCCGCAACCACGTAGCATACTTAGAACGAAACTAGAGTGGAGGAATGGAGGGAAAAAGAATTGTTGTGTGGTGGTGTGATTTGGAAGGGAGGGGGGGGGGGATGGATCTATTTATAGGGGAAGAGGACTGCTGAAAATTATGCAGCGCCATCACCGCCTTTAGTTAAACGCGTTGATTGGTTCCCCGCGCCTTCACCGTTTTACTCAACGACGGTGATTTCTTCACCGTTTTGGTTAAACGCGGTGAATATTTCACCGCTTTTCTTCTCGACGGGGATTGCATTCACCCCTAGACAAAAACGGTGAATGTCAAACTTGTATACTTTGAAAAAAAAAATTAAAATTTATGTATTTTGGATTTTTTTTTAATTACTGGTGTATATTGGGATTTTTTCCCCCGAGGCCCATTGCTGGCTGTTCGGCGCTTTCGGCCTTCCCCAGTGGTGTTTGGACTTTGGACACGACACAGTGACAGAAAGGATACACAGTCCACAACCCTCGGCAATAAAGGCAGCCAAAAGCGCGGGACTCGGCGGCGGCCAACTCCTGTATTTTACAGCCAAGCTAAAGCATCATCTTCCTTCCCAGGCTCTGAGGTCAATTTCCCTCTCAACTGCCGAGCCCATGGAGAACTCTTCTCCTTCTTCTTCTCCTCCTCCTCATTCCCCTACGCTTTCTAGTTCAAGTTCTGGTGCGTTCCTCTCCAACCTCCCCTCTCGTGGCTTTTTGTCTTCAACTGTTCTCTCCTCCAATCCGGTTAGTCTCTTCTCCTTTCCCGCTTTAACCCTAATTCCTTTTTGCATTTCCAGTTCTGCGACAGTGGCCTTATGCTGCCCATTTCTTTTCTCTGTGATCCATTCATGAGGGTATGTGGAAGGGTTTAGAGTGACCGGATGGTTTGCAAGTTTGTGTCTTTATACAATTCAACTTAATGTCTTTGGGTCAAGTAAGCTACTAGTTTGGAACAGCAGAATTTACTTTCTTTTCTCCTAATTGATTTTTTCGCACCAGGAGGCTTTTAGGGTTCCCCAGCTATTTTCAGTATTTTGCCCATCTCCTAAGATCCGTATTGGCATATGCTTATGGAAGATTCTTGCCAGAACGGAGTATGTCTAGGTTGAGCACTATAGCATTTGCGATTACCATTTGTCATGGCAAGTTCACATGAGCGAGTTCATCCCTATAGGCTCGTGGACTGTGTTTCTATTTGATTTTGGATCTGTCTTTTTTCATTTTTGCTTCAAACCTGTACTGGTATGCTTGCAAATGATTGTAATCAGAGCGTAGTTTTGCAGTCTTAACAGAAGCAGTTTTACTGCACGTTGGAGCCTTTCAATTTTAATTAGGGATATGGTTATCATAGATGGTGTTATCTCCCTTGTCAAGTAGGCCTTGTGACTGAAATTAAGAATAATGGTTTGAGAGCTTGTCTTCCCGTTGTCTTAGTTTAATTTAAGACATAGAGAATTAAGGGTAATGGTTTCAAAATGTTAGTTGCTCACCATAGAGATGGTGGTTCAGTGAATGTCTGGGCTTTCGGTGGTTTTGAATGGTAGAGAAGGTTTCTACGTGTGTCTTGTTCTTGCTAAGTTGACTGGTTTTGATCACTATTTTTTTTCCCGCTATCTTGGCACTGATACATGTAAATATATTGTACTCCCGTCACTGTGGTTTGCGAACATGGAGCTTCCTCGTAAGCATGATAGAGCTGCTGGGTTACCATGTCTAAACACTTCTGAACATAAATATTGAGATTGTGATTATGGTATTGTGCGTCGTACTTAAGCATCATTTTTTGTTTCCACTGTAAGTTATTGTTCACTTGTTGCGAATTATTGCACAGGGTGGAATTCGAGTTTATATTTGCGAGCATGAGACACTACCTCCAGGTCTGTTTATTATCTGTGCTTTCAAATGATTCTGCTGTGATCTCTGTACTATTGCTTAAATGATGTAGGTAGAACCAGTTTAGGAGTACTTCTATGTCATTAAGAAAATGGGATTCAGAGTAAGACAAGATGTTTATTTATACGAACCTGGGCCGTGATGATTATTTGCTTGCTGATAAATGTTCCCCTGTCATCCATGATAAACAAAACTGCTAATGCTATATTAATGTGAATTTGAAGAGGTTAACTTTCCTTAATCTTACATCAGAGGACCAGCTGATACACACGAACCAGACAAACATATTGATTAGATCACTCCAGCTTAAGAAACAGAAGGGTGAACCTGGTCCAAAAGATGCAAACGGATCAAATGCAGCCGAGGGTTCTAGGAAAAGGTATTTCCTTACATGTTTCATGAAAGAGAGCTATATCTGCATAATCTGCTTGTCTTTGATTTCAATAGAAACTTACTTTCACGTTCACTAACACCTAATAGTAAGTTGTTATCTGCTACCTGATTATTCGTGCCGCTAATGAATCACATTAAGCTTCTGATGTGCAATGCTTGCCTTTTTTTCCAGGGCCTCAGAAAAAGTTATGGATGGGAGGGCGTCGGCTAAGAGAAGCAACAACCAAAGTGGTCTGCAACCTGGTGAGAGCTCCATTTTCTTGGGTTGTCAGAGATCCTGCGAGCTTGGTGTTTTAGACATTTGGTTCTTTGCCTAAATGCTTGATGCATAATCATTTTGTCTGTATCAATAATCCTTCTCTTTGGGGTTTGCAGAGGGGTCTGGAAGTCGGACGTCTGACAAGGATTTGTACAGTTTGACAGTAGAGAGGCTCCGTGTTCTGCTAAAGGAGAGAGGCCTTTCACCAAAAGGGAAGAAGGTAAGACAATCCTTCTGTTGGTCGTTGTTCTCCGCGCAATTGTTGCTGCGTCCATGAGCCTTTTTACTTTACGAGGGCATTTTGTGGGGATCTTTTGCAGTCATTCGAAGAGTTGAATTTCTTGAAATTTATGCAGGATGAACTGGTTGCCAGATTGAGAAGTGCCAACGGGTAACTGTATAATAGAGGTAGGCAGAGCAATAGTCGGGTGCGCTGGCATGGCAGGAAAACGAGTAGGCAATTTTTGGTGTGTAAAGTGGCAGATGGTACTTGTGGGGAGGGGGTTATTAAAGAGAGGGAAGACGAAACAGAAAACAAGTGCCGTAGGTTATGATTGTGCTTGTCGCTGCTGCGGCATTGTCTACTATATGTACCATAGTTTGGGTGTTTCTTGAAATTTCCTTTTGGTGTCCCTTTGAATTCTGGCTACCCAATTTTGGAACAAGTATACTCTACAATTGCTGTAGTGTTGGTGACTAAGGTCTTTGAATTTATCGCTATTTCGTTGCTTGGTCACTATTTAATTGATCAATTGTATGTTCAATTAACACTTGATGCGGAACCAAGTTATAAAACTCGGTTGTCAACTACAATATTGACTCCAATCCAAGCCAAGTATAACTTGAATTTGTAAAGTAGTATAGGGTAGACCCTCGAGGTTGTATTCTCATAGGCACCTTAGGTTAACTAAGAAAGAAAGAACTACCAACTAACTTGTTGGGAGGTTGGTAAAGATGAGATAGTTGCTTAAGATCGAATTCGAATCCTTATAGTAGTAGGATAGGTGTATGATTGATGCAAGCCATACCCCGACTTACATGACTTCTAAGTTGCGAGAAATCATCTAATCTAGTGATTGTTGCGATGGTCACGACTTAACCACACTTCTAGGCCTCTAAACTAGCTCAATGGTCTTGTAACTAGCTAGACACCTATAGCTCAATTAGGATTTTTCCTTTACAAATGGAACTTCGACTCGATAGTCACGCAATACATATCCCACAATGATTTATGTGTGTTCTAATCCTAACCTAGGGTAACGGTCATCACAACCTAGGTCAAGATTATGCACTAATTACCTCTATTGAAGCAAGTTAATGACATAATTAAACTTCAAACAAGCATAAATAGATAAAAATTAGGCTAGGTTCAAATTAAAAAAAAAAACCTAATGGCATACCAGAATTCATTTCCCCAAAACAACATAGAGGTTCAACTCATAGAGAGAGGAAATATATACTAGGAAGAATAAACAAGCTTGAATTCATCTTCTTCTACTTGGATTGCACCATTCTCCTTGGATTTGGGATGGATTCTTCCTTCCTTAGTTCCTCAAAGGTGTTACCTCTCACTAAGTATTGCCCAAAATCATATTTTCTCACTCTAGGGATGCTCTCCTTCATCAAATGCGAAAAAATGGAGTTTATAGATGTTTCTGGTGCACATCACGACCATAAGGCATAAATTGAGGGTTGGCCGTGACACTGATGCGTGATAGCGGAATCTCACGTATCGTGGAACTCGAACTCTTCTACGAAACTAATGAAACGCGATAAAGATAGCTAAATTACTCTAATATACTTTACTCTTATTCATTGCTTACGAAACCCAAAGAACAACGTACATATTTATAGGACTACTCTCATAACCCTTTCCCTCTCCAACAAGGTAACTAATCCTAACCCAACAAGTAAACTATAACTTCCTCAACAAGACACAATAAACTAATACGAATATCTCAAATAACCATAATAATCTAGCAATTAACTAATAATAAGTCCCTAATTACTAAGCCCATACTAGGCCTAAGGCCCACCGAATGCTGTACCGCATCAGACACTTGACAAAACAACAAGTAGAAAGTATGTCACGGCCACGTCACGACTTTGACCTTTGTCGTGACCTGCAAAATGTTATCGAATCATTATTTCCTTCACGTCTTGATCACATTCACGAGCATCGAGATCGCGGTCTCTATCTCTGAGTTCACAGTCGAGATGCCAAAGTCACAGACGTGATCTTTCTTGCCGGTAGAATCCTTTTGGTTCGCTAGCCGGGTGGTGAAACCTTCTGTTCATTTTTGCTTCGGAGGGTATGCACGCCCAAGGGGTCACGACCATGACTTGTCTAAGGTCTCATTTTCTTGCTTCTATGCATTACAAACGTGCCCGGATGATCCCCAAATCGATTTGAAATCAATTTATGGCTAATACAAGACCTATCATATCATCAAAAACACCAAGCAAGCATAAAATACGACAAAGTGAGGCAGTTCCCCACGATGAACCTTCAAAGCAATCTAACTCATGTTAAAACTCATAATGTATGTATAGGAACACCTATTATCAAAACCTATCTTGCAATATGGTCTAGACACTGTGATTTAGCACCCAAATGCCTAGATAAACACTACAACAATCTTGTCATATAACTATGAAATATGTTGTCGCTAAAGTATGGAAATTTTGCAGCTAAACGTTTTAGTTACGAAAAATTTAGTTTGTAACTTTGTGTAGCTAAAAGTGGCACAATTAAAAGTTAGCTACTCATTTGTATACTTGTATAGCTGATATTCAAAACATTTAGCGGCAAACAAAATATATAGTAGCCAAAAGCTAAGATACTATTGCTACATAAGTGAAGTTTATGCAGAAAAATTGTGAATATATTTAGTCTTGTAAGAGGCAATATATGGTTGTATCTAACCATTAGCTATGAAGTAATAAGTGAAAACGATTTAGAATAAAGTTAATTGCAATTTATGGATGTATCTAACCATATGCTTTGATTTCAATTTGGGTATGATTATGGATTTATGATTTTTGCATTTTGCTTGGATTATAATGTTTGATTTTATAATGTGTAATGAATGGATTAAAATGGTTTCAAAGCTTCAAATTCCAATGATATATTTTTACAGGCGCGGAGCCAGGATTTGACGATCAAGGGGCTGGAATTGGCTAGTACATTATCGTCAAAAGTGAAAAAATGATAGAAAAATAGTACAAAAAAATATTATTATTAATTAATATAATAATATGGACGTTATTTGATATTAAAAAGTCACTCAAAGTAGAATCTAAAATAAATTTTCTAAATATCATGTTTAAGAAATTAGTCTAAGTACAAAATTAAATAATCAATCATATAATCAAGAGAGTAATTACAAATATAAATTTACTTAATTGACCTATAATTTAAATTTAAAGAACTTAATCGACCTATATATGATAATTATATTATTAAATTACTCTTCATTCAAATTAAACTGCCATGCTCTAAAACGTAAAGATGTAGAAAAAGGAGATGTACACGGTGCGAACCCGCCACTCCATCAAACAGGCGAAAATCTTTCCGCTGAGCCACTCACACAGTAATGTAACAAATTTGCACACGCGTTTACTAATACTATATTTGGTTTATACGTAAATTTTCAAACTCCTATCGAACTTAACACCTGATTTCAGAAATTTGGGGGGGGGGGGGGGGGGGGGGCATTGGCGTCCCAAAGACCAACGTATCTCTGTCCCTCATTTGTTATTTGACTATAGATAAATGTAGTATTATTTCTATATATAGTCCACATTAAAAAGGCATAGTCTTGAGCCCATCAGCTTGCCATCTCACCAGCCCACATGAGAGATTCATATTGCCTTTCGAAGTGAACTTAGTTTATTTCGGCTTTTGACTGACCGAACTAACAGACAGTTTGACATGGAATCAGGTGTTGTTTTCTACCTTGTATATTTCTGTTTAATTCAGTTTTAGTTCAATTTTGACCAAATGCCCACCCCTAGCATGACCCAAGCTGCGATGAGCCTCTGCTCAAACTACTGTACACTTTCACAGTATAAGGTCAAGGTTTGATGCAAATCCAGATCCTTCCCACGTTCCTCCTATGCATTGTTTACAACTTCTATCAAGTTGTAGCGCATGTTGTGACACCTCTCTCTCCTTTTTGAGCTTCGAAATGTGACCGTTGAGCCTCAAATCAATTACCAATTAATCCATGATACAGCTCTGTCCTAAAATAGCATTAACAAACACAATCTAGTGTAAAATATGGCAAAATATAAGGTCTTGCCTAATGAGAACTAAAAAGAGCTACAAATGGAAGGGTCTAAACATGTATAAAAATGATGTTATTACTTGCTTAGTCAAACTGACTCTGAAAACATTGAGCATCTTTTTTTCCAACCATTTACTTGTATATTAATGATATTTTGTATGGTTGAGTCCCCCACCACTTCTTGCTAACACAACCATTTGTTCCTCTTCTCCTTCTCCATATCAACTATGATGTGGTTGCTCGAACTTTAATTCGTTGTGCCTCCAACTTGGTGGTCAAGGAAACTACTAAGAGACTTTTCTCTGGCATGGGCATCCGTCAGGTGCCTGTGGACCCTTATCTTGTAAATTATCACCGCCAATGGTAAATGCATTCATATTATGTCTTCTGTCGACTACGATGTTGAGTTTTTTCTAGTCCCTCAGTTTAACAATCGACATACCCATAAAGTTTCATGAAATATCCTTTGCCTATCATGGGAGCCGCGTATCCTGCCCTAACTATTGATAATTTGGTTGTCCCTATTTGGTTGCGATTATCGAATTTGCCAACTGAGTTTATTTTGAATGAGGGATTATATCATATTGCAAACTCTTTTGGTAGACCTCTTTATACGAGTTGTCATACAAGGCATGGGATGAGAGTGAGAGTGGCTAAGGTTGGCTCGCTCTTACTACAACTTCCCAATCGAAAGCCAGGTATAACCAACAACCGGGTGTAGCATATGGTAGTAATTAAATTTTCAAACCACTGGTCTCTAGATATACCTTACTTTGGCTTAAGTTTTGTTATCTAGACAACCTCAAATAGTGATTAAGAAGAAACTAACTAAATTAACCTAACCACTATCCTAGCTAATTACAAGTTGGGAGCTCTCTTAACTTCAATCCCTCTAATTCCGTAATTTGGATTGATGTTGAGCACTATCCTAGATTGTTTGACTCGATATCTCTGTTGCGGAGAATACTAGACTAGGTTAGACCCCCTATTCGAGTGCATCCAACCTTGTTCAATTGCGCTACCCGAAGTGGCTTACCGAACAACTGGCAAAGGCAATTAAGGTGCTAACCGCTAATTCCCACAATTGGATAAACCCTACTCGACACTACCCAATACGAAACTATGGTTCTTATGGCTTTCGCATCAAAGACTCGTATTACTAGATTTAAGGTGCTCTATTCAACCAAGGGGGATGTACTCCAAATCTTATATCATTAGGAGATCAATTGAATTTCACTCCCTCAGAGATTAACCTGGTACGACATAGATTGAGGAGTGACCCTAATTGCCAAGAATGGGTCAAAAGGGGATTTTCTCTCTACTAGGTCAAAATATCAAATGACATGAAATGGAATCAAAACACTCATGAAATTCATAATAAGAATCCATCATATAGATAATAAGAGTAATCAAACATAGGATTTGTCACATACATCAACA